GTTGGACGAATCTGAAGAATCTGAAGAATCGGGAGAAAGATACAGACAAGGAATATATGGATCGATGAAAAGATTTAGAACGAAATTTTGGCGATATTTTAAAATATTCTTGCAAGCGATTCGAATGGTAAAAAAAAAAACTTTACATCACCGTTTTCGCGACGAAGTTTATCGAGAAAAGAAACGATTCGATCCATAATCGAGAGCAGAATCACGGTTCGTGAACGAATCTCAAACCATCTCGATCTCGAACTCGTCTTTGCCTGCGTTCGTGTGCCCCATTTCCAAGCCTCATTTCCCCCTCTCACCGAACGATCCTCTTGCCAGCAGCGTGTTCGAGGGTGTACACGAAGAGAGTGTCGTGGAAGAGTGAGCTCGCCTCGCGCAGAAATCCGCGATGCACGCGAAAGTCGAAGCACCAGGTGGCCGAGGCGCGATGAAGCCCGATGTGCGCCGCGAGTAGAACAGTGGCGTTTGGATGGCTTGCAAACGGAAGCGGAAAAAGTCGTGGAAGAAGTCGCTCGAGGGAAGTCGCGGAGAGTGACTCTCGCGCCGGCCAGCATGGCGTGGCGGCGCCGCGCGTAACTTTTCCGACCGACCAAGGTGTTCTTTAGTTTGGGGTTTCTAGTTTGGTGAAAAGCGACCGAGGGCCGAGGAGAGAAAGACGCAATGCGGTAGCGCAATGTGGTAGAATAGCGAGAGTTTAGCGGATCAACGTGGCCGGCACAGAGTTCACGCAGGGTGAACGAAACTGGGCCATAATACTTGGAGTCGAAGGGCCCGGAAGTGGGTGAAAGCCACTCGAACAACGGCCCAGGCGACGACGGCCCTGCCTTCCGGCGATGATCGGATACAATCAACACAATTCTGGCTACAACAAGCTATTCACGCAGGTACACCACCAGGGAAACGCGTTGCTTTCGATAATAATCTTTTGCGTATGCGTTCAGGAAGGAATCTTTAGACATCTTTAGTCATTGAAAATTTAACGATAGAACGCTCGTGGAAAATCGTTCTAGGATTCTTTGCTTAAATTTGTGTTAATTGTTTATCAGAAGATAATTTTGTAGAATTTATATCTTTGATCGATACTTTAATTTTGGCAGAGGATATGATGTTTCTTTGGAAAATCGTTTTTCTTCTAAATGTATTAATTTTTTTGTATTAATTTTGAAGGGAAGAAGAAGAAATTCGAATGAATTATTCGTTTAATTCGAATTTCTCGAATTAAATTGAAGATTGCACGAACGTCGTATTATTCTCGCGATAATTTGATTCGACGATCATCTTCTCTTTGTATTCCTCGAAGAAGAACGATCTTTCTTTTACTTTCCGTTGTTTCTTCTTCTTCTTCTTCTTCTTTCTTTTTTTTATTACATGTGACGCAAATAAGATTGTAAGAGGATAACGGTTGTAACGAGAGGGAGGGGAGGAAGCAGATAAAGGGTGTCAATGAATCGGCCTCCTTACACAAAGTAATTAGTTGCAAGGGATGAACGGGGGCGCCTGCCAGGCGTCTTCATCAATTTTCTCCATTTTATAAAGGGTTTTCCACGCCGCGCGATGCGTCGCACAAGTTTTACATTAATCAGCCTGGCGTGAAATAAAAGCGGCCAGCCGTGCCATCGTTGCACAGCCTCGATCCTTTACGTTGCAATCTAAATCGATCCGGTTTACATTTTGAGCGTGAAACCGAGCGTTCCCTGTATGCTCCATTGCTCCTCCACGTCCTATTCACATCTTTTTTACACTTTTATCTTCTGTCCAGATTTTATTTTATTTATTTTTTTTTTTTTTACTCCGTTACTTACGTGTTACTCAGCCATTCTTCCGGCGAACTTTATCATTTCTCGTCTATTCTCACTTTCTTTCTTCTACTTATCGTTAAAATTGCATCATTCCACTCTCCACTCTTTCTTCTCTCGTCCGATCGATATCATCGGTTTACCTTTCTTTTATTGTCAATTCTGTACCGTTCGACTCGACTCGATCTTTCGCTTCGCTTCGATTTTTATTATTGTCTTTCCTTTCTCTTATTTCGACGAACGAATCACCACGAATCACATTATCGCTATTTCATCTTTCATCTAACTATTTAGTTAACTATACTAGGATACAGAAAAATTTCCTGATTTAATATCCTATATTTCTTCTCCCTGTTATCCAATCATATAAAATTCCTCGTCTAAAAATTCGTCATCACGATTGTTCGAAAGAATTCCCGTCCCCGTGATCCCCAAGAGGGTCGAAGAAGGTCGTGGTAGCACGCATAGACGAGTTTACACAGTCACGCACGGGAAACAGGTAGAGAGAGAAAGAGAGAGAGAGAGAGAGAGAAGACGATTAAGTAAAGGCCGTTGGCATGGTTACAAGCCCCGAACGAATGAATTCATCGTCCCGACAGAGAGAGAGAGAGAGAGAGAGGAGAGAGAGGAGGAAATTTTATTTTATTTATTTTTTTTTTTTTTACTTCCGTTACTTACGTGTTACTCAGCCATTCTTCCGGCGAACTTTATCATTTCTCGTCTATTCTCACTTTCTTTCTTCTACTTATCGTTAAAATTGCATCATTCCACTCTCCACTCTTTCTTCTCTCGTCCGATCGATATCATCGGTTTACCTTTCTTTTATTGTCAATTCTGTACCGTTCGACTCGACTCGATCTTTCGCTTCGCTTCGATTTTTATTATTGTCTTTCCTTTCTCTTATTTCGACGAACGAATCACCACGAATCACATTATCGCTATTTCATCTTTCATCTAACTATTTAGTTAACTATACTAGGATACAGAAAAATTTCCTGATTTAATATCCTATATTTCTTCTCCCTGTTATCCAATCATATAAAATTCCTCGTCTAAAAATTCGTCATCACGATTGTTCGAAAGAATTCCCGTCCCCGTGATCCCCAAGAGGGTCGAAGAAGGTCGTGGTAGCACGCATAGACGAGTTTACACAGTCACGCACGGGAAACAGGTAGAGAGAGAAAGAGAGAGAGAGAGAGAGAGAAAGACGATTAAGTAAAGGCCGTTGGCATGGTTACAAGCCCCGAACGAATGAATTCATCGTCCCGACAGAGAGAGAGAGAGAGAGAGGAGAGGAGAGGAGAAAAAGGGGGGAAAAAAAGGAAATTCGTTTTTAAGGGTGAGAAAGTGGAGAAGTAGCAACGAATCGTTTCGTATCACTCTCTTCGTATCTACAACACCAGACGAATGCAACACCGTTAAGATGCAAATTTGGCGCGACGCACGTACACACACACATCCGAGCATCCTTTGCATTTAATTAAGTATCTAATTACAGGTAAAAGCTTTGACTTTGAAAAGTGGATCAATACATCAATGTCGCGGCAACTCGGGATCGATAAAACTGTTAGAAATTGCGTCTCCTTCTCTCTCTCTCTCTCTCTCTCTCTCTCGCCGAACGAAGAGAGAATTTCAGCGTCTCTCATTTTCTATTCTACTCGTAGCGACGAACTCGAACGCGACGAGTCGACACGTCGTCTTCCATTGGGATCGATCGATCCAATTAATTCCTCGTACGGCGAATTAATTGAGCATCCTTTTTCTTTTTTTTTTTTTTTTTTTACGAGGCCGCTCGCATTGTCGCCAACCGTGGTTGCGTTAACCGTGTTCTCCTGAATCGTTTGCCAGGACGCGTTTCGCGTGGTGACGCAACGAATTGCGCCGTATAGTATCGTATATAGATAGAATCCTAATTTTTGTCGCCGATAATTCTCGGCGTTTGCCCAATCGTTTGCACTCGATTATTCTAGAAATTGCACTCAACGGGCCACGGTGAATTATAAACGTGTCATAAATTTCGCGACGCCTAATTTTGGAGATACGCTACATTGAGATTTGAAAACGGCCAGGCTATAGATGATGGAAATGATGGAAAATCGAGGGGGGAGGAAAAGGGAGTGCTTCTTGAATCTCAGTCGATGGATCTCTCTACTCTTCTTAGACAGGAGATTGTTGGCAGGCCTTTGACAGCACGTAATATTTCGAAAGAGGATACATGAATCGAGGATACGAAACTCGTATGATCATATGATCGTCGAATTTAATCCTGTCACTTACCGTGTGACGAAATAAGGAGATTCTTTGAGAATGAATCATACGTCTGATCGAACATGATCCGTTTCCACTTATTCCTCCGCGTTCCTCGACTCACTTGTTCCAGAGAAGATCAATTTTTTTTCTTTTCCAAATCGTACGTACATCTAATTTCGAATTTAAGCGATGATCAAGCGAAATTAGAACGGTGATTATTAGAGCAACCAGCAGGGATCGAATTTGAAACGAGCGTGTTCAAAATTCGTATTTATTATTATTTGCAGGGAAACGATTTCGCTACCTGTGCAATTTCCATTTCGAACCGACAAATCATCGCAAACTAGCGCGTTAAGATGTTTTCAAAGAGGTAGACTCTTCAGAGGGAGGACAGTCGCTTCAGAACCGGCGAAACTTCTCTTTTTAAGCTAATGGTCCCCGACACTCCAAACCCTTGACAACTTCTCCAGGGTTTCCGTGGCGGGCAAAATATCACGGCTCCTCGCAATTCTCGGAACACGAGAATTGATGAAAAATCTCACTCACGAGAATTGCAGACATTTGGGATGGGATCGTCGAGTAACAAAGAAACGACTTCGCCACTTTGAAATTATTTCCAATTTCCGTTTAAATTTCATAAATCGTTATAGACGATAATATTATTCATCCAGGAATTCAATTCGTTCACTTGAACTCTAATTTTTATAAATAAAAATAATATCGATAAAGTAAAATTGGAGGGAGGGGAGTAGAGAATTGACGAGTGTTACGTTATATACGACTTCCAAGAAGAAAAGATCAGAAACGTGTCGACACAATTACGACAGAGAAATCGAAAAGGGGCATATCGATCGAACTGAGATCGATTCGACAACGATCCGAATAAACGCAACAATGCGAGCCGCTTGGAGGCGCAATTTAAACGAGTTTGTTTTGTATTTTCAGGGCTCGGCAGACTCGAACTACTCACAGCCGAGCTCGGATCTCTCGCTGGACGAGGAGAAAGAGAGCTTGCGTCGTGAGAAGGAGAGGCAGGCCCTCAATCAACTTGAAAAAGCCAGGGTAAGTCATTGATCTTTCGCATGTTCTAGTTTCACATCACTCTCTCTCTCTCTCTCTCTATCCCTTTCTCCTTCTTCTCTCTCCACCCCCGAGTCTGTTTTTCCACAAGCCTTTCGTAAATCGTTTCGTATCGATCGAACAACTTTCCATCGTCATCGTCTACGGCCTCGTGTTCCTTCTCTCTGCCCGCAAGCAACGAGAAGCGTGTCAATGAATAAGCGCGCCAGACTAATGAGATTTCATCCGCGGAGGACGAAATCGAATTAACGCGTCTCCTTTGTTTTTCGACAATGGATGCAGATGCATTATCCGGCCGCCATCCGTGATATTATTGCCCTCTAATTATACAGGCCCTCCCCCCTTTTTCCTAATAGATCGTGTTAGAAACGCGGCGAGGTCGAGCAATTATCCGACCGTTGTTTCAAAGCTTTCGCGCCATTCTCTTCTTTCTTGGCTCCGTGTTACGTGCACGATTGCCTAATAGCCTCCGTTCGTGTGTCGACGAACTCTTGGATTAGGCTGCTGATTTATGACATTTCGAACCGAAAGGGAAACTGAGATATCTCTCCAACACTATCAAATGTTCGAACGTTCGAATTCTCGATCGTTTTGTATTCAAAGCAATCCAAATTTTCGGACTAATAAGTTTCCAATTCTCTAAAAATAATTAAGATTCCGAATCGGTCGCATTCCTCGATATCTTTGCATCGAATCGGTGTTAATTTTCCGAGGAACGAAAACGTTTTGTTTAGAGCGGTACGAATCGAATTATGAAGAGTCGCCATCGAAACGTATAAAACGGCACCGATCACTTTCGAACGAGCATTAAATGAATATTGATTAACTAAGCGACGACCTTCGAGGCGCATCGCGACAACCCTATCGGTTTATTACGCTTTTTATTCTCCGTCACGTGGTACACGTTGACAATGCACCGATCATCCATGATCTGATCGGCATTTACGCTTAAATTGCAGTTGCACGGAGTATCGTTACGGTATAATGGATTATGCGACGTGACCCAATAAAAGAGAAATCGATAATGCCAACGATGAAACTATCCTTCTATCCTCCTCGAAGAAAATTTTTTTCACACACAGACCGTCCTTTCGATCCTTCCTTCCAATCTAAAATTCCAAAATTGTTTCTTCAAAATAATGGGATAATTTTTGTAAAATTATTCAGACGAAACCGGTAGCGTTCGCAGTGCGGACCAATGTGAGCTATGACGGATCCGTCGACGATGATTCGCCGGTCCATGGCTCGGCTGTCAGCTTCGAGGTTCGCGACTTCCTGCACATCAAGGTACGTTATCTGAACAGAGGATTAAAAATTCTTGTCGGTAATCGAAATATTCCAAACCTTGAGAAATTCAAAAATCCACGATACAACGACGATGTAATACAAATCTATATAAATTGTATAATAAAATCTAGAGAATCAAAGAGAAAAGTGAGAAGAATCTGTGTACGAAACTGTGTGCAGGAGAAGTACGACAACAACTGGTGGATAGGCAGGCTGGTGAAAGAGAACTCGGACGTCGGTTTCATCCCATCCCCGGTGAAATTGGAGGCCCTGAGGCAGCAGGCGAGCGCTGCACGTGGTACAAAGGGTCTCTATTCGACGCGTGGAGGGTCTTCAGGGAACCTTGGCGAGAGTGGTATGCCCTCACGTGGTTCCACACCACCTACACCAGGTATCCTAGCACGTCCTTCTTTCTTTCCGCCCCTCGAAAACCACCGGTGTACCTGTACGGCAATTCCCGACCGATCGATGATCCGACGGTGAAAACAGGCGAAGAGGGAGAGGTCCTCGTGCAAAAATATGCAAAACACGAAAAAAAAAAAGAAAAAAGAGTGAGGGGAAAGAGAAAAAGCGAAAAACATAAGAGAGACCGAGAATGGAAAAAAGAAAAGAACGAAAAGAAAGAATATCAAAAGAAAAAAAAAAAAATCTCCCGAAAGAGTTGG